TTGATAAAAATGTTCAAGGTCCTTTCTTTGTTGAGCATTCCTCTTACACAATTGCTGATGCCATTGCTTTCCTCCCTACATTTGGGGAGCTTCACTGTGACCTCCCACCTTCACTTGAATCTACTATCCTTTCCTATCTTGCCAACCCCTTTGAAAAAGATTGTATCTCTTGGAAATTCGCTCATAATGGATCCTTTGTGCTCTTATTTGCCTATCATATGGTCTACAACTTTGAGGTATAAGACAGGGGAGTCTCATGGAAATGGATCTAGAAATGTCCCACTATTCCCAAAATTAATTTCTTTATATGGCTACTTGCCCATGATAGAATCCTTTCCAAGCTCCTTTCATCCTCTCGTGTAGTCATTGCTGCATTTCCCCAATGCAACTCTACTCTTGAAACAACCCTTCACCTCATTTGAGACTGTCTTGTTAGCTCAAAATATTCCTATTCCAGTTGCTTTTCTTAATAGCTTCCACCTTATGACCTTAACCTCTTTGATTGGCTTAAAGCTAACTGTACTTCTAAACTTTTGATTACCCATCCTAAAATCCCTTGGGCAACTTACTTCTATTACCTCATCTAGAATCTATGGCTTGATAAAAACAATCTTTGCTTCCATAATAGCTCTAACTTGCAAAGAATTGCTTGTAAGACCATGGGACTTACCATAGAACTTTGCTCCTCCAATCCCCATCTTAGAAAATCTATTCCTGTTCCTATATTCCCATTAGATGGATCCCCTCATAGGAGGGGTGATTCAAAATGAACACTGATGGATTTTCTAGCTCCACTCAAAACCATGCTAGTGCTGGAGAGTCATTAGAGATCATGAAGGTACTTGGGTCATGGTTGTTGTAAAAAATCTTGGGTATGGGACCAATAATGATGCTGAACTAGGGTGTCAAAACTACCCTAAAATTAGCAGCTAATTCAGGGATTAAGAAGCTTAAAGTTGAAATTGACTCCACATTTGTAGTTAATGCTCTAAATGATAACTCTATTAAATACACAATTCATAAGACATTGATTGCTACATGTAGATTGCTGATCTAGCGATTTGAGTAGGTGGTGATTGAGCATGCATATCCTGAAGCAAATGGTGTGGTCGATACACTTGCTGAGCATGGAGCTCTCATAGAAACAACTTTTCTCACATTTGACTCTATTTCGTACTTTCGTTTCTTTTGCTTCTCTCATGATAGAAATTGTTGTACTATATATCGAACCTCTTTTTGTAAAACTTAATTTGCTTCAATGAAATTTGCATTTTCATTAAAAAAAAAAAAACTTTGAGATTGTAAGAGTCTCGAGTTTGTAAAAATTCAGCACGACCTATCTATCTTCATATTTATGAAAATAGTTCTATGTTTTGTCCTATAATCACTCTATCAAAAATCTTCTGAAGTGATTGTCTCTTGAAACCCTTAAAGATTACGTAACCCAAAACTCTGCATGGATCTTGTTATCTGTTGCAAGTTGAAAGTCGTGAAGAAGGTGTGTTGGCATTAGGCTCATAAAGTGAGACAATATACCAGGTTGGTGAATGAAGGAAAAGTAGCAAACGAATCACAAAGGGCTTTAGCTAGAAGTCAGAACTACATTCAGTGAATTATTGCATTTATGACAAAACCTTGGTAATATATCTATGCTTAAAGTATAATAGAATGTAAGAAACGAGTTAAAATAATCATAGAAGGTTAGAAAATATAAGTAAAAGATTAGAGGGCTCAGATTTGTTACTAAAGCTAGCTACTATCAATACTTATCCTAGGTTGTAGATTGGGCAACAAACTTTAGTTAATGAAAAAGAAAAATTAATTCTACCAAAAAGAAAAAGAAAATTTAAAAATTGAATAAGTTGAATTAGAAATAGAATTAGAAGTATTATTTAGAGCATAAATTTATGAAATCTACATGACAAAAATTAGTAAGTACAGTTAATAGTTTAAAATTAAGTAATAACATAAAACTTAGCAAAGAAATTGCTTCATTAAAATGGTTAGGATTGAGATGCCAACAGAAAGCTAAAGAATGGGATCAAGATGAGAGTAATGAAAATCTAGAAGAAATAATATTTAAAATAGAATTTATAAGTAAAGTGATAAAAGTTGGTCAAAGCCACCATCAATGCTAACGAAAAATAGAAAACTATTGGAGAGTATAGCAATTAAGTAGTGTTTTACTAATCCCTGTCCAAGCAATTAATTTAGTATATTATCTTCAATGCATAAGTTTATTCATGACCATGCAGTAGATGATGAAGTCTATACTATTCAGTGCCACAGATACATAGGAATAAAATAGTATGACTATTAGTAGAAATTAGTGATATGGAGGATAGTGATGATTATCATCTACTAAGATATATCCAAAAATTAAAATTTGCAGTAACAAATTTAAAGAGACTTAAGGAAGCTAAGGAATATTTATCTTTATTAGCAGTATAATGTAGTATAAATTTTTTTTTATAGAAATATAATGTAGTATAAATTGGTGTGCATTTAGTTGTTATCAAAGCCCACAGTAAGTATTGGGACTTAATTATAACATTTGAAGAACATTAAGAACTTTTTATCAAATAAGAAAAATCCAAAAAACGGAAAAGTAACGTTAAGAGTCAATAGGGGTGGTCAAAAGGCTAAAATTCCTTATATTTAGAGGATGTTTGGTATAATGATTTAAAATTAATAATTAATACTTTCATCTAATCTAATAAATAAAAATATTTGAATTATTAACAATAATAATTATACAACTGTTAAATTAGACAAAATTATTAACCACTAATTTTAAACTAGTATACATTTTTTTTATATTAATTTCTTGGTATTAAGTAACCACATTAAGTCTCAACTAATCCAAAATCGAGTCACGTCGAATCCCATAAAAGGAAAAACCCTCTTAACACTTGTTTCTTCATTTATAAAACTCGAACTCAAAATCTTATTTAAAAAGAATCAAATTCATTCTACTTGGATTAACAGATGGTTGGATTTGAACTACTATACTAAACAATCCTTTAGTAAGCTAAAGATTATAAAACCTTAACTTATAACTTTGGGGCTTCCAAGAGGATTAAGCCTATTTCAACTGAATTCACCATCCCCCTTCAGATTCCACGTTAGTTACATTTAGAACTTCGGCTATTATAGGCCATTTAAACAAATAATAGAAAGATGGCCAATGTATATCTAAAACTATATCATTTTAATAAAACATCATAAAAAAGAATAACAGAATACTCAAATTCACTCACAAAATATAATGACAAAGATGGATCCACCCCTAAACAAAAAACGAGGACAAATCCACTCACAAAATTTTTAATTTGGACAAATCACCCTAAATTTAATGTGTGATGTCATTTGATGTCAAATGACATAAGTAATCCATTAATTTGCAGTTATCTAATGTTAACAATCTGTTATTAGCGACATAACAAGTTAACGGATTGCTGATGTCAGATAACATCACACGTTAAATTTGAAATAATTTGTCCAAGTCGAAATCGTAGATCCATCATTGTCACTATACTTTGGGAGTAGATTTGGATATTTTATCAAAAAAAAATTATACCAACCTCATCTTTGCTTTAAAAATTAAGATATTTTAATATTTTTCAATGAAACTATTGTTTACACCTAAAATAAACCAATATGGTAAGGCCACGTGTCAAGGTAAAGCCCAATTATCAAGAAAATCAATAGGCTGGATTTGGGCTGGGCTCCTACAATTTAACGGCCCAGACAGATTTTCAAGAGGGTTGGATCTTAGGTGGCAGAAGATAAGATTGGATCTGGTAGTTTGAATTTGATTTAAAATGGGAAATTGAGGATTTTTAGGTAGTTATCTTTAAGGTTGTTGGAGATAAAGTTAAATAAAGATCAGATAACTATTAAGTAACTGCCAGACCTGCAACCCCACTACAAGATCATGGAGGAGGTTACCAGCATCGAAGGGAACAAAAACAAAGAGAAGAGAACAGTTCAAGGCCTGCCTAACACACACAGACTGGCCAACACGCACACAGACTACCCAGAGCATGTTTTTCAGCTTTCATACTGCATTTTCCAGATTTCAGCAATAGTTTCCAGATTTCCCAGATTTTCCAGATTAGTTCATAGCCTTAGCTTAGGTTTGCTCAGCTTTATTCATATTTCCTTCCGCAAATTCCAGTTTAGATTTATTTTTAAGTATTTGGAAGCAACTTAGCCTTCAAAACAGGTCTACCCTTTTGATTCGGTTAGTTCTCCTTCTTTTTATGGATTTAGTTATGTTATTCGTTCATGTAAATAGGTTGAACATTTTCTACCTTTGTTCTTTTGTTTCTGCACAATATCCAGACATACAGTTTGTTTAGTTTTAATTTCCAGATTTAAATTTATAAGTTTCCAGACGTTAATCATTTCATAGTTTCTTCTTCAGTTTTAGTTATCATTATGAGCTGTGTAGTTGAAATCATTGTCTATTATTTTATTTTTTCTGTTGTCTGCGAATTTAATCTTTATGGCATGTTATTTTCTGTCATTTATTTCATGTTAGTTTAATTGCTTTAGGATATTGCATTTATTTTAAGATTTGTAGTTTTTATTACACTTGTTTGGTTGTGAAGTCCTTGGAGGTTTCCAAGGCAATTAGTAACCCATTTTGCAGAGCTCTACCCTCTGTTTTGCAACATCGTCTGGGGGCGCAATTGATTTCACAGACGTTCTTTCCAACCATCCCATTGGAGGTCGACTGCTGGAAAGGAGAAGGGTCGTCTGGAAAATCCTATTTTCTTGTTTTTAGACAAAGCAAGTGGCACGCCTAACATCCAACTCACGTGGTAAAGACCGGCTGAGGATTTTTGAAGAAACAACTATATTAAAATATTATAATTTTAAAATATTTTACTTAATTTTTTATAATATAAATTGATATACACTTTTTCTTATAAAATTATATAGCAATAGAAAGATTATGTTGCGCACAAACTATCAGTGGATACTTTGAGATTCAAGTAGAATATTAAATGCATACTTGCTACTGAGATTGAGATCCACTTATATGATTCCCAGGTCCAAGGACAATTGCCACAATAATAACCATGAATTATGTTACAACATAGTTAAGACTACATAGTTAACACTTAGGAGACCTGTCTATTCCCCACTGTAAATAATACTGGTTTTTTTTCTTTTTATTTTTTTTTTTATTTTTTTCTCATGCAAATAACATAGGTTGCTGTCTGAAGAAATCTAATCCATACCAGATGACTTTATTCATACTTCCTTGCCTTGAACTTTCCCCTGGGGATCTTGCTAAGGACACCAGCGTCCAACTTTCTATAGTGATTCTGAAGCTGTTCAAATACACTGTAGAAGAAGTTGTCAACTTGATCTTCATACCTCTCATAAAGGACTGGTAATGTGTGGGCCGCAACGAAACCTTGAACAACAAAAATGAAGCTTTCAAAATCAAATTATCAAGCTTAAATGCTAATTTTGGTCCCTCAACTTAAGGTTTTGCACAATTTTCATCCCTCAACTTTTTTTTGCACTTTTTTGGTCCCTTAACTACGAAAAATACACTTTTTTAGTTTTCTTTCAGTTAATCCGTTAAGTTTATCTAAATCTACACATTTTTAGTCCCTTAACTTTAAGTTGAGGGACTAAAAATGTGCATATATTAGAAGTTAATGTGCATATATTAGATATTAGAAGTTAAGGGACTAAAAATGTGCAAATTCAAATAGACTTAACGGATTAATTGACAAAAAGACTAAAAACATGCATTTTTCACAGTTAAGGGACCAAAAAAGTGTGAAAAAAAGTTAAGAGATGAAAATTATGCAAAACTTTAAAGTTGAGGGACCAAAATTGACATTTAACCAATTATCAACAACAATTTGTAAAGGTCTATTTTGTACAGCAAAACTCCCAATCCTAGAAAGATTAAAAAAAAAAATCTCCTACCAACCCATTAATTCCATTGGAGGCGCAAGGAGACGAGGCAAGTTTAATTAGGAACTACTAGTGTGCTTTCTAAAAATGGTTTTCCAAAGATTTTGTCTTTAGGGGAAAACATGGCTAGAATAACTTGTTTTCCAGGTTTGTTTTCATTAGTGTTTTCCCTGTTAATGTTTCCTATGGACCCATAAGAAATATAATAGCAAGAATAGAAAGGAGAGAAACTAAAGAACAAACATTAAACGCTTTCCAGCACCAAACAGCACAATAAGCATCTCACCCATACCACATACGCATTCTGCGCAATTTGTCAGACTATAAAAGCATGCTTACTTGTCAACAGTAGTGCGAAGCTGAAATGGTCTTAAGCCTTTTAATCAAAACTTCATTATGATTAAACATGTATTCTTTTTGAGGCAGCTAAATAGCAGACAAAAGTTTCTAATCCAATTTTTTTATCAGAGTTTTCCACGAGGTATGGTTGGTCTCCATGCTCCATATAGAAGGCCCATATGGCAAGTCCACAGGATTTAGGAGGCTCCAAAAGTAATTTGTCACAAACTGAGACATTATATTCTCTAAACTAGTCATAAGGTGCGTTTGGGATTGCTGTAAAGTGCTGTGGTTGTGATTGTGCTGGACTGTACGGTACTATAACTGAAAGTTATTTTGGTGTTTGGTTATTTAATTTTTTAAAGTATTATAAATGAAATATGATA